GCACGCGCCTCACGGTTGACAATTGCCCGCGCGCCGCGTGCGCGTCACCCTTGCATGCTTTCAAACTATAAGGATGTCGGTCCTTCAACAGAAGAGACAATTTGCTAAATTTTTCAGGCTCACTAGCCGTCTCCATCGTTGATGTTTATGGCGACAAACGCTTGCAATACCGACGAAAGAACGATAGTCATACAATCAACAACTTTTCGACAGGACTATGTTAGAAAAAGACAAATGAGATCCACCTACCTCATCGTGAAAAAGGATAATCTACGCAGATAAAGTGTTTCTGAACTACAATGCAGTTCCCAAACACCTCAGAAAACACACTTTGGATAGTATTTATTCAACGTCTTCTTGGAGTTAAGTAACAAAGAAGTAACTACAAAGATAAAACCCATAACAAGGATATTAGTCTGGGCAAGCGCAACAATGCGGCCATAAAACTGAAGGCATGAGCCTTCCTATCTATCCTCAAATCCTAGAGATATGTCAAGAGGATTTGTTTCAACAATTCAATCACACTTTTGTAGAAAGCATATACTCAACTTGACAGTAGATACACAAAACGAGTCCGAGTGATGCAAGAAAATGAGATACGAAACATGCTTTCATAGATGAAGAAGAGAATTTCTAAACAATATTGGCACTAGCACCTCTGGAAATATACTTCTAACAAATTTATAATTCATTACGATCACGTTCTACTGCGGAAAAATGCCATCAATGGTTCTCGCTCCGCAAAATGTTCGCGCGCGCTGTTGCGCTGCGGCTGCGCGACTTGGCTGCAAAGTATGAACGAACAAAGATTATTTGAGGATCGAGACGTTTGAAAAGAGACTAACAGGCTGCAAGACCGGCTCAAAGTTGAACCGCGAAAGAGAGGGCACACAGCCGCAACGCGACCGCGCGCGGTACTGTCAGCCGACTTTTTTGTATGCTTTTCTCCAGATCTTTTCTAGCTAAACAATGGAAAAACACCGGCAGCTGCCAAACAGCTGAAAATAGCGTACCCTTTCGAACCTTTGATGACATAGTGACCCGGAACCCTCTTGCTCTCTAAAATCGAGAGCCAGTCAATCAATATCTATGAAATGTACAACATAAAACAGTAAAAGGTAAAACTAATAAAACATTCTCACGAGGGTAAAACTAGATACTAGGATATAAATTATTGAGTAACAATATCGGAAGACGTCACTTTGTCGAGCAATTCGTCTCTTTCAACTTCTTTAAATTCGGAATCTTCGGCCAATCCACCAAGCTGTTCTTTGGAAAGTTTCTTGAAGAGGAATCCATCACTGTGTAATATCCTGAGGAACAAACTTCCATTGATTAGCACAAAGCACGATGATCCCAACATCCACATGCAGAAGTAGTACCTGTAATGTGATAAAGTGATTTTTCAAAATTGAAAAGGAATTTATTGTTTGACAGAAGAGACAAAGGATCAATTACGATATAAAACAACTCCTGCTTAAAAGCGAAAAGAATTCCGATTACGCGCTCATCTACACTCCCGCTTCAGTAAGTAAGGTGAAGGTCCCGACACGAAACGCCTAGCGCTGCAAAAATGCCTTCCTTTCATCGCGCTTTTTTGCTTAGCGTCAAAGAACTTTAACTTAAGCAGTCTCCTCACAACATAAAAATAATTTTATAACTCACAAGTGCATGTTGTAGTAATTTTCGAATGCCCATAAGACTAGCCATAGCTGGATGAAGAAACGGAATGGTAGGAATGCGGCTACGTTGAGGTAGGAGATCACTTT